GTCAGCAATCTCTGGCATTGCCACTACATGATCAACCATCCAGTGTGTCTAGGTACAGTGATACAGTCAGCAATCTCTGGCATTGCCACTACATGATCAACCATCCAGTGTATCTAGGTACAGTGATACAGTCAGCAATCTCTGGCATTGCCACTACATGATCAACCATCCAGTGTATCTAGGTACAGTGATACAGTCAGCAATCTCTGGCATTGCCACTACATGATCAAACCATCCAGTGTATCTAGGTACAGTGATACAGTCAGCAATCTCTGGCATTGCCACTACATGATCAACCATCCAGTGTATCTAGGTACAGTGATACAGTCAGCAATCTCTGGCATTGCCACTACATGATCAACCATCCAGTGTATCTAGGTACAGTGATACAGTCAGCAATCTCTGGCATTGCCACTACATGATCAACCATCCAGTGTATCTAGGTACAGTGATACAGTCAGCAATCTCTGGCATTGCCACTACATGATCAACCATCCAGTGTGATCTAGGTACGGTGATACAGTCAGCAATCTCTGGCATTGCCACTACATGATCAACCATCCAGTGTATCTAGGTACAGTGATACAGTCAGCAATCTCTGGCATTGCCACTACATGATCAACCATCCAGTGTATCTAGGTACAGTGATACAGTCAGCAATCTCTGGCATTGCCACTACATGATCAACCATCCAGTGTATCTAGGTACAGTGATACAGTCAGCAATCTCTGGCATTGCCACTACATGATCAACCATCCAGTGTGTCTAGGTACAGTGATACAGTCAGCAATCTCTGGCATTGCCACTACATGATCAACCATCCAGTGTGTCTAGGTACAGTGATACAGTCAGCAATCTCTGGCATTGCCACTACATGATCAACCATCCAGTGTATCTAGGTACAGTGATACAGTCAGCAATCTCTGGCATTGCCACTACATGATCAACCATCCAGTGTATCTAGGTACAGTGATACAGTCAGCAATCTCTGGCATTGCCACTACATGATCAACCATCCAGTGTGTCTAGGTACAGTGATACAGTCAGCAATCTCTGGCATTGCCACTACATGATCAACCATCCAGTGTATCTAGGTACAGTGATACAGTCAGCAATCTCTGGCATTGCCACTACATGATCAACCATCCAGTGTATCTAGGTACAGTGATACAGTCAGCAATCTCTGGCATTGCCACTACATGATCAACCATCCAGTGTATCTAGGTACAGTGATACAGTCAGCATCTCTGGCTGGCATTGCCACTACATGATCAACCATCCAGTGTATCTAGGTACAGTGATACAGTCAGCAATCTCTGGCATTGCCACTACATGATCAACCATCCAGTGTGTCTAGGTACAGTGATACAGTCAGCAATCTCTGGCATTGCCACTACATGATCAACCATCCAGTGTATCTAGGTACAGTGATACAGTCAGCAATCTCTGGCATTGCCACTACATGATCAACCATCCAGTGTATCTAGGTACAGTGATACAGTCAGCAATCTCTGGCATTGCCACTACATGATCAACCATCCAGTGTATCTAGGTACAGTGATACAGTCAGCAATCTCTGGCATTGCCACTACATGATCAACCATCCAGTGTGTCTAGGTACAGTGATACAGTCAGCAATCTCTGGCATTGCCACTACATGATCAACCATCCAGTGTGTCTAGGTACAGTGATACAGTCAGCAATCTCTGGCATTGCCACTACATGATCAACCATCCAGTGTGTCTAGGTACAGTGATACAGTCAGCAATCTCTGGCATTGCCACTACATGATCAACCATCCAGTGTATCTAGGTACAGTGATACAGTCAGCAATCTCTGGCATTGCCACTACATGATCAACCATCCAGTGTATCTAGGTACAGTGTGTCAGCAATCTCTGGCATTGCCATTACATGATCAACCATCCAGTGTAGGTACAGGTGATACAGTCAGCAATCTCTGGCATTGCCACTACATGATCAACCATCCAGTGTATCTAGGTACAGTGATACAGTCAGCAATCTCTGGCATTGCCACTACATGATCAACCATCCAGTGTGTCTAGGTACAGTGATACAGTCAGCAATCTCTGGCATTGCCACTACATGATCAACCATCCAGTGTATCTAGGTACAGTGATACAGTCAGCAATCTCTGGCATTGCCACTACATGATCTTCAGTTCAGATGGCTCGCAAAACAAGTGTGGGCTATTGTAGACTCCAGATTCACCATGAATTTATGATTTATAGGAACATTATTCCATTTTGTCATGTGCACAGTACCTGCTTCACACAAACACATATTGTGTATTGTCCAGACCATAGTGCCCAGGTATCCATAAAATGACAGTATGCACTTAAGGAAATGAAATCATTTTGTCCAGGTGTAACCTTAAGTAATAACCTTGTTGCACCATACAAAAACAGGTTGCACCTGCTGCTCAATATATGATTATACATAATGCTTGAGTTTTGGTATTTCCCCTGGTGCCTGGTGCCCCCTGTCCTGATATTGCTGGAATATTGCTAACAGCAGAGTTAAACCACATCACTCACTCACAAATAGAATTTCATGACATGAACAGTAACAGTTATTCAACAAGCTTTGTCACTAAGGTGACATAATCCCCCGCCGCAAATTATCAAACTTAAAAAGTAATGAAAGTTTAAGTTAAATGTCAACAAAAACATGATCAGTCAACCTCTCTTGATATCTTGCCCTTTAGGTGTCCAAACACACACATATTTTCAAGACTGATTTTGACCTTGACATGAATGTCATAATGTATGAAATATGCAAAAATAGTACTAAAGAAATTGCTTATTGAAAAAACATTCAAGGGAATAGCCCAGCGGATAAGTGATCAAATTGTGCACTTTGTGTTACAAGCATGAAATTTGGCGTGATTGTAGCTTATACCATTCTTATTGAATAAAGATCGAGAGGCCTCGCAGATTTTATATATTTACCCTAATTTTGGGGAAAAAAGTGGAAAAAAAATCATTTTTTATACTATTTTCGTCATAATTTTAGAATACATTCTCCAAAATTCTCAAAAGTCATATATCAAATTGTAGGAAATTCAGAGCTGGTCATTTTCCATCTATACATGTCTTTTTATCTTTAACAGTTAGGTCTATGGAAGTCTATTTATATCATGACTACCCCGAAAATGGGAAAATTGGCGGCCATTTTTCAAAATGGCCACCATATAGAGTACATCAGTAAAATAAGTATGAGATCAAAGTCTTGAAAGTCGATGAAGAAAATCCAGTGAACCGTTCTTGAAATATCTTGCTGACAATTCAGGTTAACATGCTGAAATCTTCAAAGTGTCATCGTGACCCTGAAAATTATGTGAAGGTCACCAAAGTTGCTTGGGCCCTGGGCCTTCCCTAGATGAAGCTTGGTGTCAAATATGAAGAAAATCCAGTGAATATTTTTTGCGATATCTTGCTGACTATCTTAACATGCAATTTAACATGCTGAAATCTTCAAAGTGTCTCTGTGACCTTGAAAATTAAGTGAAGGTCACCAAAATCGACTGGGCCCTGCGCGTTCCCTGGATGAAGCCTGGTGTCAAATATGAAGAAACTCCAGTGAATGGTTCTTGAGGTATCTCGCTGACAGGCATAACATGCAGGTTAATATGCTGAAATCTTCAAAGGGTCTCTGTGACCTTGAAAATTAAGTGAAGGTCACCATAATTGACTGGGCCCTGTGCCTTCCCTAGATAAAGCTTGGTTTCAAATATGAAGAAAATCCAGTGAACGGTTCTTGAGATAGCTTAACATGCAGGTTTACATGCTGAAATCTCCAAAGTGTCCCCATGACCTTGAAATTTATGTGACGGTCACCAAAATCAACTGGGCCCTGCGCCTTCCCTAGATAAAGCTTGGTATTGAATATGACGAAAATCCAGCGAACGGTTCTTGAGATAGCTTAACATGCAGGTAGAACGTTAAAGTTCCCCTGTGACCTTGAAATGAAGGTCAAGGTCACCAAACCTGACTTGGACCTTTCTTATAATGTGATGAACCTAGGTACCAAATATGAAAAGAATCTAGAGAACGGTTCTTAAGATATTCCAATTCATACTTATGGACGGAGCCTAATACTATATCCACCGCTTCGCACTAAACGCGCGGCCGGGGATAATCATTGTCTGTGTAGTCATCAGAGTCACTGCTCCAAGCCCGTTCCCTATCATTCTGGTTCCCAGCTCTAGTTTGTGTTCCTTGAAAAGCTGCATTTTGCAGTTTGAGGTTTGCAAGTCTTGATTCCATGGTTTAACAACGGATGCATTGATCCATACATCTATTCGTTTACATTGTTATCATGTCGGGATTATTTAAGTAAATGCTCTCAAATAATTCCAGACTCGAATTAGAATCAAAAGTTATACTCTCTAAGCTGAAGCTAAAACCTACAGAGATTGTGAAAGTCAAGCCATTTGGTAAACTATTAAAGGGCCACTGATCCAGAGCAATTTCCGTGGACTGGTTGTTGCTTTTGTTATTGTTTTTCTCCATTGAGTACCCGGATGATATCCCAGAATTCATGACTGGTTCGTTACCTCTGCTGCGCCACCCTCATGCGCCATTGATAGTATAAGTATATGTAACAAGTACAAAACAAGTGTGTAACAAATACAAGCGTGTAATAAGTACAAAATATACAAATTGTAAAATGTTCTGGAAAAGCAATCTATTTTAATATGTCTTGTCTCATGTTCCTGTTTGAGATCAATTCATTACACTTTAAACAATACAATTGTCAGTGAAAAGGTTTACATTTTCACAAGTCCCTGATTTATTTATAGTCATCACTGGGTCATGGGTCGAAAGTAGTTTCTATGCAAATTAGCCCAATCTTAAGGAGGTCAGGTCTGCTGTCTTGTCCTTGGTTTTCATTGGCTGAAGATATGCAGCATCTTGATTGGATGTTGAATTTAGTTGCATTTGGAAAGTGTGAAGTTTGTTCACTTGCTGTCTTTCTGCTAACCTGGCAAGGTGGTTGGAAAGTCATGGATTGAGGATTGTGACTTTGATGAATTACAGGTTAGTTACATTTGGTTTTATATAAAAGGAATAAAATACCTAAATATGTTAAATTGTTGAAAGGTTAATTCAGTATTTATTGTAACTGAATTTATGTATTTGGTGGAGGTATGTTTGACCTATGGTTAGAAGTTGTTGGTGTCAATAAATTCACTTACAATTGATTCAGATTAATGTTTGAGTCCAAACAGATTGTAAGTTTACTGTACTGATGAGGATTAGCATTTCCATGCTAATTAAGGCATACATATTTTAGGTCCTTGGTTGGTGTTTTGTTGGTGCCTCACAACATGTGGCCAGTTTGTAACAAGTTGTCCCATAGATGGTAAGACACGCTGATAGTTCATTGTTGTTTTGAAGATGTCATATGTGTTCCACAACTCGTAAGGATCTCAATATGTAAATGAAATATTAATTTTGTGATGTCCATTTGTTTTGATTTCTTTTTATATGTTCAGTGGTAGAACTGTAATTGATAATTATCTGAACAATGTGCAATAAAATGAATGTGATAAAATAGGTATTTTGATGGAATGTTATATATTCATGTACATTGTTTCAGACTTGTATTATTTATACAAACTACTGTAATAAATCCGAATTACAGCCTCAACGGAGTTGTGTTGTTGAGTCAGAGCCATCCCCGTTACATATAGCCTGATCAACAAAGATGAAACCTGTTTTACTCGGTAATCTTACGTTGATTTTGTTGTAAAATTATGTAGACTTTGTTGAATAATTTGGTTTCTTATAAAAAAAATATTCACTTTGATAAAAATGCTGATTTTGATGTAAAATTTTGATTTCATAGTAATGTTGACTTTATAAAAATGTTAACCTAAATGGATGCAGAATCTGATTTAAAAATACTTTGATCTTGAATTTGGTGAGAAGTATGATATAGCATTGTTTTGAAAGTAAGACTAATTAGGTACATGGGGAGTCTTGGGGAGTCTTGGGGAGAGTAGTGAGCTCGGGTTCACTACTAGTCAATCTGAATGTTGTATTAAATGGCATTATTTTGAAAACAAATGAAAACATTTTAAGTTTAACTATCTGCCACTGGTAAAAAATGTTAGGACTTAAATAACGAAGTCAATGTATGTCTTTATATTTTGTCTTATAATCCTAATTAGTTTACTATCATATTTGTATGCATTTTGAAACTTAATAAAATGCACATGATCTGCTTATACTTAGTGAATTTATAACATGATTGTAATATCTTGAACTCTTATAAAAAGTTATAGATTGACAATGTGTATCATATATCTCACACACACGCCCTAAGTGCGACCTAGTGTATGTTGTCTGGCTCATTACACTTCACAGCAAAAAAAAAGATTCTGTTTAATGCCATAACATTAAACAAATAAATAAAAACAAAATGCAAATATTACAATTAAAACAGACTAAAGTTATAGCAACAATATCAGGCTATTACCTTGTTCGGGGAATGTATCCATCAATATCCACATAAAGGAATGAGATGCCATTCATCTGCAGCTGACAAGGTATCCTGTTCCATGTCATGTGTCTTTTAACAGTCTAATATGCGAAAAAGTGATCTATCGTTTCAGGTTTTTCATATTGTGTAGAGTCTGATTGGTCACCCAAGATAGCACACCTGGCAACTAATTGCATGATGTCTGCCATTCTTTAAAAAAGTAATTTAGTTAGCCAATAATGAGCAATCAATCAATGTATTGGCGGTTAATCCTTTGAAGGAAGGACGTTGTTTTTACAAAGAGACTTTACGACAGGGTGTATTCAGTATAGATTAGTAAATCTACATACATAAACATTACCTTTGACAAGTCTGCTGTGCAAGATAAAAGCAATTAATCAATCAGCGTGTTATCGGTTAATCCTTTGATCGATGTTTGTTTTGTAACCGGCTGATAATTCCTCTTACTGCACTTCCATGCGCATATTACATAAGATGTAATACATTTGCCACATCAGTAATGAGTATTTACTCCAGACACAAGAAATGCCAAATGGGAACCTCAGAGTGGTGCTATCACTAATTATACCTGTTATAAATTCATTAATTGACCATCAAATAAATGATGACAAATAACGTGTAGATTTACCACCAAACAAGGGTTACAGCAAGAGAGTAGTAATCGCGGTGTCTGCCCGGGAAAGCGAAATTTCAATATTCCCTATTCCCAGTAAAGCGAAAACCAAAGTTGCGCTAGAAGTGCCGCGAAAGCGAATTGCTATGAAAACATCAGATTGCCGTACTTTAGATTACCGCGCGACACCAATACTCGTTCTGTGAGCCGCTTAACTGAAATGAAGTTTCAGTTGTTTCAAGTTTCAGCACGTACGTGACCCTATTTAACTATAGTTTTATTAATTCATGTAATGAATTACTATCATTGTTGAAAGAACCTTATTTGTCAATGTTCCGTCAACTTTTTTCAAGTGAAATATCTTCTCTTAAAATGTATCCAAGTTTATTAAGATTGTTTGTAAACACTTTAATTGATGTATCATTTAGTCATCTTGTTGCACATTTTGTATGTACTCCTTTGTTATACTCATGTACCACCTATATCTGTTTACCCACGTGAGTGGGCATATCATTGTGAACTACCTGAGGGAAGTTGATCTGTATTATAAATTGTAACTATGTAATGCGAATAACGAATTGAGTGCCTTTGAATTAAGTGCTATGACATTTTCTGTATTTAAATAACAATGTTATGAATAAATATACTGAGTCAAAAAAGAAACTTCACAAAATGTAATTTGAAAAATAATCAATAATTTTTTTCTGATGATACATCTATGTATCTGAAATGGGATCCCTATCTTTCGACTCTAGAAAAACGTTAGCAAAACCCACTCAAACTCGAACTAACCTGTAGAGGTTTCAGATTCTTTGAATATATTCCTCCTTGGGGTACTTATAAGCATTTAAATGTCCATTTAAATTCCCTACGACAGTTGTAACAATATTTGAATAAAATATTTACAAAACAAAAACTACGTTTTGTCTTGTGAGACCACCCTTACAGGGCCTTCCGGCCCCCTACAGACAAGAGCAGGTAACTCTAGACCGTAACCTCGTACCTCACTTTCCATGCTGAACGAAGTCAGACAGAATCTTGAGGGGAGGTGGTGAGTACCCAAGGAGGAATATATTCAAAGAATCTGGAAACCTCTACAGGTTAGTTCGATTCTTTTTATATATTCCTCCTTGGGGTACTTATAAGCATAAGACAGACTCCTAAAGGCGGATCTCAGGGCGGCATTCTGTCTGCTTAAACACCCCGACAAGAAGTGGAATTTCCCAAGCTAATTATAGCAGAAAAGGCACACTTACCCGGTCGCGTGTCCACCAAAGCCAATCAGGCGGGGCATGAGCCAGGGTCAGGGTTAAGCATATGCAAATTTGTCCATGAAACCTAAGCTAATGCAGCGAAGCGAGACACACCCTCCCTCCTTCCCGTAATCTACCGAGGAGGCGAAGATAAGGGTCCCTTAATAAACCCAGAAGCGAAATGCGGAATATGAACAGCAAAGTTTCCAAGGGCAGTTTAGTCTAGAGCTTCTCGGTTAGAAAGCAAGAGACATGGGAATAAAAACCAGCACCACATAAAACCCATCACCAAGGGAAAATGTAACAAGATTTGTAAAACCCAACACCAGTGTTAAAAATTGGCAGATAATGGTTCACACAATAAAAACCTCGAAGCTCAATCGGCTAGAGAGGTGGAACCATACCCACTGGAGAACTGACTGACCGAACCGAGCGCGCTCACTGGAGAGTCTGTCAAGTTGGTAATGACGGATGAGCGATACTTTCGGACGGCTCCAAATAGCAGCGGAGCAGATCTCCTCAATGGGCAGGGCTGCAGCGTAAGCTGTCGATGTAGCTACTGCCCTAACCGAATGAGCTTTCAACCCAACAGGCGGGATCGCCCTGTTTGAGTATAACTCATATGTATGGCAGAGACAAGCCACCGAGAAATGGTCTGCTTGGTGGCGGAAGACCAGCCTGAACCCGCCATAACAACAAAACAATTGGTTACCCTTACGGGTACCCTTGTTCGTTTGATATAAGCCTGAAGTGTCTTCACGGACATCTAAGGCGTGAGTACGCGTCGTAGAGAGGTACCGGACAGGGAAGGCTGAGTGAAAGCTGGGAGCTCAATAAAAGCCGTCACATGGAAGGGACTATCCTTCTTAGGGCCGGTAAGTCTCAGGCAGCCGAATGCTAACTCTGTCTTTGTGAAAAACAGTAGCGGGATCGGCCGACATTGCGTGAATATCGCCAAACCGCCTGCCAGAAGTCACCGCCACAAGAAGCGCCGTCTTCCACGTCAACAGCTGGAGGGAAAGAGCCGACAGATTGTGAAACAGTGACCCGGACAGCCAATCAAGAGCGATTGACAAGTCCCACGGGGACTAATCCGTCGGACAACGGGACGGATTCTGTCCACACCTGCTAAAAGCTGTACAAGAGGGTGCTGCCCCAAGAGAGCACCGTCAACAGGAATATGAAGCGCCAGAAATAGCCGTAGAATATCCCGAACAGTGGAAGCCGCTAGACCGGCTTCCAACCCGAGACTGGAGGAATTCTAACACACAGACTAAATCTGTAGAAAGGGATCAAGAATCCCCTGTTGACACACCAGCGAATAACAGGCCCATCTATCCTCATATTGAGCGTTTTGTCGAATCCCTCAGCGAAGCCAGAATTGTGTCTGCAACTGGTGCAGGAATTCGCTTCGCATGGAGGCGATCCCTGATAGCGGCCAAGCCACCCACTGAATCCTGGGATTGGTGGGGAAGCTCCGTTCTGGGATAGGAGGTCGGTCGAAAGGTAATAGAACAGGAGGCTGAGCCAGAAACCTGAGAATTACGGAAACCAGCTTTGTGCCGACCAAAGGGGTGCCAGAAGCACAAGTAGCCGAGCTGGTTGTGCGGTCAGCTCGCGACAGGACCCTGGAAATCAGTGGTATCGGGAGGCGCCCACAGTACCC